TGATGTCTCTCGTATATTGCACCAACGGTCAACCCACGCTCCTACAATCAGCTGGTATTAACAGCAGTCCATGGATGGAGGTGAGGAATTCATTACGCACGACATTGCTTATCATTGAGCACATTCACTAATATGCCTGGAGGAAGTTCGACGGTGCGTGGCATGTTCAAACAGAGTAAGAACTGGGAGAGTGTGCAAGCACCTGTATATTTGCAAATGGTGCATGGACCTGGGCGTCGATGCACCCTTAAAAAATTCCTGTATGACGAATACAGGTACATGTTTATTCCTCCGATCCGAGTCCTATGCAATACTGCAACCTGTTTCCCCAGTCAGCGTCCACTATCACTGGATATTACTATTCTACACATACCCTGCTTCTCCTCTCAGCAGCCATTTGTTATGGATATCGCGAGCATCGTTGAGTGGGCCATGAATGAAGGCCCATGCTTGCTCCAATGGCTGACGCCAAAAAGCACGGCTATGATCGAGATAGGTAAGAAATTTTGAGAAAAAACAAGACCCCTGAAAACTGACCGATCAGATCCTCTTTTTACGCTATAAAGACCTGTGCGTCGCACGCCAACAGTGTTCTGAGCATTCGATGTCGACTAGAAGCAACAGGTACGCCAACATTGAATGAACAAAAATGTTCCTAGTGCTGATGCACTTTCCTCCATGTCAGAGGCCCCAAGCCTAGTGAAGGCCCTTTAGTGGCAGATGCAGGAGCAGCTGCGAGCAGGTAAGGTAGGTGCCATCCATACCTGTCCAACGTCACGTGAGGTTACTTTACCGTGACATTTTTAGTCTAAACGGGAATCAGGCTGAAGATTGGAGCATTGAAGGACATCACACTCGAAATACGAAAATCGGAGACGGTCATATTAGAAATATGTACTCCAGAATGTAGGATTATAAAGGGATTTAAGATATCTTGAGAATTGATAGAGCCTATCGCAAAACATTAGTCAGGATTATGATAATTAGCAGATGTTGAAGCTACTGCACGCCGGCTCGCTCCAGCTCTTGCAAGATCTTCTCCGGAAGTACTCGGTGACCCTTGTACTTTCTGGAAGCCCATGCAGCCTGTCTCCCATTGAGCCCAAGCTGATATGCTGACATGAACCGTTGTGAACGGTTGGCAAATCTGATGACCAGTGAGAAGGTCAGATCCGTAATTGGGTTGAACACATGGCACATACCGGCGCATTGTTACAAGAGGAATGGCATCAAGAGCCTCAAGAGCGTTCTTCTCAAGGACATCCTCCCTCGAGGACTCTGGAAACAGCCGGTAAAGTCGTTTAGCATATCCCCAACACTGTTCAATAAAATTCAGTTCGCAGTGGAACTTGGGAAGGAAGATGATCTTGAATCCCCGGGCACCACAGTGTGTTTCAAGGAGTGTCGGAGCATCCACGAAGTCGGGCTGGGTGAATAGAAGTCGGCGGCAACAGCAGTCTACAATACCAGGTTTACATTTGAATTTGTCACACTGAGCTCGCAGTTTGAACATCTTCTCGCGGTCATATCCACGCTCCGTAAGAAGTTCGGCCATTCCTTTGAAAATTCCAGCGCGGGGATGGCTGGGTCCGAAATAGAGTGACTGTGGCTGTCCGTCAGGTAGTGTCGCGTCGCTCATCGGGATTTTGATCTTCGCATATTTGCCATCTGCTGTGTAGACCGGCTTCCCATCGGGGGTACGCTTCGTAACCTCGACCTCCCAGTTTTTGCCCTCGGCTGGGGTAAACTTTGGCATGTATCGGGCTGAGGGAGCGCCATCAGCGCGCTTCAAATGAGACGGTGCATTGTCATAAATAAACACATGCTCCATGCCCGGATAGTCCTGCTCCGCGATGTCCATTGCTTCATCGGCCTGCTTGAGTATGTCATCACTGGTAAAGTACCCATCCTTGTTTTTGCCCAGGCGCATGATGCGACGTGCACTGCGCTTTCCGTCCAAGGATCGCAGCCATCCAAAGTCCGCAGAGACATAATCAGCAATCATCAAAGATGCACCATCACCCTTCTTGTACGGGCGTGCAGTCGCATCTTTGTGATACCAAGCGCGGCGGCGACGGTCATGAGCATAGAAGATGCTCTCATCATGGAGCCAAAGAATTACGAGAAGTCCGATAATAGGACCATACTCAGGGTTTGCGTCAACGAAGACGCGCATCCGTTTCTGGAGTTCCGCGAGCTGAGGAAGGAATTTATTGTCACGGTAGTAAACAACATCAGCCCGCTCGTGTCCATCAGCGAACTGTCCCTTGGGTGTGGACTGAAAGCGGTAGCCGAGAAGTTGAAGGTAGCGGTGGGCAGTGCGGATCGAGATCGGCCTTGTGATACCATGTTTTTCCTTCACCTCCGGTCGTCTGAGGTACTCGACGAGCTTTGCTGCCGTGATGTTGACGCCAAGCTCCTGCAGATACAGACTGATGTCGTTGACTAGATCTTCGTCAACGAGCATCGTCTCATTCCAGTCGCCGTAGGGATTTATAGGAAGCACTTCACGGTCGCGTATGTAAGCACAGGAAAGGCGCCGGAGAGTTCGAGCACAATATCTTCCCCTCCCGAGTCCAAGCGCTGCCTGATATGATGACGCTCCCCATTTCTCAAAAGTGTTGGATCGGGGATCTGTGTACAAGTTGAGGAATGTGCGCATTCCCTCCAAACGAACCCTGACGAAAGGATCGAGGTCAGTGGGTGCCTTATATCCTCCCCCCTTCCCTTTCGAAGGTCCTTTGATCTTTTCGTTCAGATCTTTTAATGCATGTGACGCCTGAAGCACGTTGGGTGCCTCGCGTAGTTTCCCTTCTCGGACCTCTTCCAGAATCTCGGGAGTGTCGGCTCCATCTCCTCTCAGTTCGATTGATGTGATAGAACACATGTCATAATCGGTCAAGTCGCGTGGATCGGCAATGCCGCGAGACGCGAGAACAGAGATGTTGTCATCATTTTGACTTGACATCAAAACTGACATGTTGTCGTCCTCTTCATCGCAAGCAGATCGTTTCCGTGGGGGAGGTAGTGAGTACTGGATGTAAGAAGCCTTCGTTTCGGCAGTGGCAGGCTGTTTTTCGGCAGGAAAAATGGTGAAAAGTCCTGTGATGCCGTTCTCGCGATGTGATGTGTCCAAAAATACATCATTATCTTGACTGCATCTGTTTGTCTCTACGTGCTGAGGAATAATTGACTATAGAGCTTCAACACTTCAGGGTGCTGAATTATCAGAATGCAAACTCACCGGCAGATTCTCCTTTTCTTCGCTGACTCGGACTTTTCTCTTTTTCCTTGGTGACAATGCCACAACAATATCCTTCACAGTACGTGTAGCCATATTGGAGAAGCTTGCGAGACGCGATAATATGTGAGCCTTCCTTTTGGGCATAGTAGGATCAACGAGCAACACCGGGAATAGTCGCCTCGAGCACTGTATTGACGCGTCTTGACGTGTCGCGTTGGTGTTTCGGGATCTACTTTTTTTTCTCACAACCTGGGTCCGATCCGAGTATCCAGGTACCATTGTGTATGCTATTTCCTTAAGGTGACCGACTTCGATTAGCAATAGAGTGCCTTAGGGAGGTCCTGAGGCCACATCTTACATTTGTAGACTAATTTGGACGATTGTCACGCTGGCACGTGACGTTGGACAGGTATGGATGGCACCTACCTTATGTGCGACGGCTTCGACTTGTGAAACTGAAGATGGTCAGATCTTATCTAATCACTTCCATAGCCGCGACAATCCACCAGCAAAGACGCCTGCAACGCCTCCAAAGCGTGCTGCCGAAGACTCAGCAACTTCTGGCATGGCAGGTGGTAGCCCTTTGAAGAAAGCAAAGGTGGTGTGAGTGATTTCTTGCGAGCCGCTTCAGACGCTGCAAACTCACAATGTCAGCAGCTCTCCTCCCACGCCCATAGTTTTGAAGCGCATCGCCGTCGAAACCACTTCAAATGTTGGGCCACCAAGCATGGTCAACCTAGAGTCTGCCTTTCACCTCTCTGCCAAGCCACGGCTCCATGGTCTCGACACACTCCAGCCAGCGTCGACATGTCTCATAAACCTTGCAGTTGCAAACTCCTCTTCTCTCCGTGTCAAAAATGGATTCATCTCCCACGCAGATGACCCTGGCGTCAGCCGCATCTTTCTAATCGGAATGATCACGAACAGTTCCCTGACTGAAGGTGCCAAGGCTCGAAGCGTGTCTGTCGCATTTTCCGATCGCACTTTTGAGCGTGCTATGGCAGTCGCAGGTGCAGTGTTGGGCAAGACGAGACTGGTCGTGCCGACGTACAACAACGGTATATCTATATCGACTTTCAAGAAAACAGGTGAGCTGCACAGACACTTAACCTATATTGATGCTCACGGTATGCTCAACCAACAGCGACTTCCCCTGCATCATCATCCACTCCAGCATCGCCGTCTAAGAACAAATTGGCCCCTTCAAAGGGTATGGTCTGGGGACGACCCGTGAAGGCATGGGATGAAACGAGTGTGTACATGACTCTGTCTTGCCTGTCTCTGCCCACTGACATTCTTAAAAGTTGTGCCTTACGATGGGAGGAAGCCATTCGACCTCCTGAAGTATCGTCAATTGCCCTTAATCAATGGGGAAGTCGATGAAAGTACTGCTGTCCTCGCTATCTTCACGCTAAGCTCATGGGCGAATGCCAATGAAGAAACGGTGTTGTCATTCAACATTCAAGATGTCATCCTTCTGCGAGACGCTGACGACACGGACGGAGTACCTCAGGCCACCTCAAAAGCTCTTTGGATGGAAGATGAGGCTGAAGCCGAGGAGCCTTCTGGTGTCGTATTATAGATTATGTATGCGACTCCGACATGTACTGCGTTCCCTGACTGCGGTAACATAGAAAATCAAAAAATCAGGATGCACCTGTTATGAATCCGTGGGAGAGTCGGGGATTGGCGCTTGCGCCGTGAGGATAATAGTAATACTACTAGTACATATAACACACACGCCCCGAATCCCGCATGTCCCATGGCTTAGTTGGTTACGGCGTCCGACTGTTATCCTCTCCAAGTTCCAATCGGAAGATCGAGAGTTCAAGTCTCTCTGGGACAGTAACCGCGATGTCGGGTTTTTTTTTGCACTTGTGAAGCTGCGTCTCTTCAATCTTGTGCTACTCGTAATTACTAAGGTGCATGGTACTAGTACTAAGTAGCTTGTCACTTGTGGCATTGAGTTTCCGGCTCACGCTTCGGTCTTACCACATATGCATGAATTTCAGGGAGGCTTCCAAGTCTCATCCAAGCATCCAATCCTCTTCATTGAAATTCATTCAATGTACCCAAACCACATCTTCTACCATCTACCGTGACCACAGCATCTACATCCTCTACACCCAAACAAAAAAACAACATAAAAAGCAAACGAACGAGAACCGAAGCCATGACAAGCCTAGCAGTACACGGATACAACAACAACGGCCAAAAGTACATGCAAGTGTTTTAAAATACAACAACTTGAACCCCAAAACCCAAAAACGAAGTCGGACGAAGGGTAAAAAAACAAGACACCAACACCAAGGTACACTACCCAGCCCCCCCAGCTCCAAGATGCACCAACAACCTCTGCGAAAGCAACGCATCCTCCATCCCCCCACTCATCCCACCCCCAACCTCTTCCCCTCGCGTTCTCCGGGAACTCCTGAACAATGCACTGGCACTTGACCCCCCACCCTCGCCGCGGGGTTTACTCCTACCAGGAGCCTTCCACGTGGGATGGGGATGCGAGTGTGGGTGTGGGTGTGGATGCGACGGGGGCACAACAAGAGGCAACGGAACAGGCAAAGGCAACGGCAACCGCCCCCACGCGCTCATACGCGTCTGCGTCCTCCCACTCCCAGCCTGCGGGTAAAGCGCCTCACCCTCCCCCCGTTGGTGCCGTGCACATCCTCTCCCGGTACTCCCAGACGCCGTCGACGTGGAAGCATGCGACGACGAGGAAGAGGATGAGTAGGCAGATGCAGACGACGCCGCATAGGCATCGCGCACACGGGCCCGTGCAGAGCGCGGATAGGTCCCACCGCGCATATACGCGCTCGTGTTGATGTTCCTACTCCTCGGGCTCGCACAAGGCAAATACAAGGGCGAGGGTGAACCCGCCCTCGACACCGGCACCGACGCATTCCCCAATCCACCCACAGACTTGGAACTGGGCATTGGTGCCGAAGCCCTCCCACGCGGCTTAAACGGCGGCGGCGCGAACGGGTCCCTCAGGTCCGTGCAATCCGTATCCAGATCCGCCACCGTCGTATGGTCAGTATCAGACCTAGATCCCCTGCCAACGGGGGACTGCGGGTATACGGGACACGTGTATGTATGCGGTCTCGGCGCCGGGACGAGTGTAGGTCTTCGGGCGGGGCTGGGGCTCATGCGGAGGTTAAGGGAGGCGGGGAGGCGGACGGTGGTGTGGGCTGGTATTGGCGTGGGTGTCGGCGTAGGAGCAGAGAAGGGTGTGGCAGGACGAAGGGGGGTGACAGCAGGAGGACCGAGCTCCAGAGCCGGTATATCGTCTGTCCCAGAGTCGGATCCGATGACCAGGACCGATTCCCTTTCAGAAGTGGTGTTAGTAACGGTGGTATAGACCGCCAGCGGGAGGGGTGTGCGTTTGGGACGGGGAGAGAAGAAGGAGGAGGTGGAGGAAGAGGAGGGGAGGGTGCGTTTGTGTTTTCTGCCCGTGGTGGGGAGCTTGGATTCGGGGGTCAGGGTTGTGTATATGCGCACCGGGGTGGGCGTTGTGGGGACTCTGGTGCCGCGTTCGAGATCCACAGGGTTGGCAGGAATAGTTGTAGAGCACCGACTCGGAGCGCGGTAGTAATATGCGGCAAGCGTCCAAAGAAGCGCAAGCACCGTGAAGGTGGTTTCGAGGATAGTGAACACAGACCCCGAGTCTAGTGTGTGGTGTGCAGATGTGGAGGCGATGAGTGAGCTTACGAGTGGTGTAGCGGGTGCTGTGGATACAAGGGTTCTCGGGATGGTGAGTGATGTAGCGGCGGTATAGCAAAGCTGTGTGGCGATGAGAAGGAAGAGATGGATTGTGGGGCTTGCGCTGGGTTGTATGTGTTGTACAAGGCGTCTGGGACGCGAGGTGGATAATGCGGGGAGCTTAAAGGTCGATCTAACGGATGTGGGTGTATTGAGCGCCTCTGGGTCAGTGAACCATGCGTGCGTGCGAGTGGGAGTGCTGGCAATGAGAGCGGGTGGAGGTTTCTCGATGTGAGACTCAGGAAATGACATGCGAGAGGAGGCTGGGGACGCGGGGAGGGTGAGACTCACGGCATTGGGGTGCCGGGGGTGCGAGATGAGAGGGTTTGGGATGATTAGGAAGAGTGTAGTGCCCAGTGTGGTTAGGATGAACGCTAGGAAGAGAAATGGCGCGATATGGGCCTGCGGTGGGACGAGCGAGAGGAGGGTGGCTGGAAAGACGCGTTAGTTTGGTCATAGCTTGGGAATGAACGGACATACCGCATGTGAGCAGGAGACCGGGAACAATGAGCAGAGGCAGCCTCGCGCGTACAAGAACCTGTAGATGCAAGATGGACGCGCCGAGAGTCGCAGCCAAGAGAGTGTGCACGATCTGCTGTGCCCTGACGCTGGGGACGAGACCGAAGGCAGCAGCGAGCAGAGCGAGAATCGCGAGGAGCGGGACCGGTGTGTACATGGCGCGCCTTCTTCTTACAAGGGCAGGGACAGCAGAGAAGGGGACGAGGAGAAAGAGGGCGTGGGTGTAATGTAGAAAGAGCATAGGATCGACTCTTGGTGGATCCAAAAACGAGGCCTCTACATAACGGGTCCAACGCTAGCTTCGATCACCATATCCGAGGACTTTGCTTTCTCCCATGACGTCCTCCCGGCGTTCCATCACGCGAGCGCAGATCGTCCCGGCCCTTCTCTCCCCATCGCCCAGACCTATAATGTCGACATGTCAATATCGTCGTCCTGAATTGAGCCAGTCTCCACAGCAACCACCCCTCCTGACTCCTAACACCCAGTCCACCGCTGACAGCGACATGGAACCAGAACCACCACGACACGACCGACTCCCTACGGTACGCGTCCCTCCGGTCATCCTCCTGGGCTAGACCCCCGCGCCTGGGCGCGCGGCGGACGTCCGCGGTGTCCATCGTCCTTTGGGTCGAGACGGGAAGTCGGGAAGCCACTTGCTAATTGCATGAGAAGCCTTACTCCCTGCGCACGTATATCAGGCACGTCGGCGGCGGGCGCCACTTCGAGTGTATATACGTAGCACCCACCTCCCCCGCTGCCCACCATTCGAGCAGCCACATTTCGTGTGCCTTCCGCGTTATCCATCCGAAACTGACACCACAGCCTACCATCCAGTGTGCCGACGTCGACATCCAGCCTGGATAGGAAGAACAGAAGCAAGCAAGGTTCGCTGGGCTTGGAGTACGAGAAAAAAAGAAATTCTGATGGAAAGGCGGGAAGGACCGAAGAGAGCATAGCATCAGCATCGAAATCAATGAGTAGTAACCCTTTCGGCAGGGTACAGGGGAAAATGGCAAAGAACCAGAACGAAGCAAGGAAGGAAGGAAGGAAGGCGGAAACGATGGTGCCTGGGCAGGAACCAGGCGTGACCGGGCCTTAAGAGGGTGAGCTTCGCCGCGGCAACGTACGCCGATGAGAAGTAGAAGTGCACCACTTCGAACTTGGCTTGCGATAATCAGGAGTCCACATGAATGGCGTAACGATTCGGATGCAGAGTACACGATGGACTGCGCGTATGATGATGACCACATACTCACGTTCAGGAGCCAAGCTCATTGATCAAGAGGCTCTAGAAAGTGCACACCCAGAGTCGAATGTACTTCGGACTCCATTCCGTGTCGTAACATGAGTATGAGTCGTCATTGTGCTCGAAGGCGAACAACTTTAAGGCAAAGCGGAAATGAAGGGCCCCACTGCAGCCGTCCTCAGAAGTATGCTGGTTGCGACGCGTAGAGGTTCTCCATGTCGAAGCGGACAGTAGTGGAAGAAAGAAAGACAACAACTGCTTCGGGGTCCTATTCTGTCCGGCTTTATCTTATCTTATCCAATTCAGTGGTCTCCGCTAAACAGCGAGCATTGAGCGAGCAATGGCATGAAGTGAAATGGACCACCTACACTGGCACTTGAAAAGCCGGAAACTTACTTCAGTAGCTGCCCCATGTCCCCGACGCATCTTATACTCGACGCAGAGCCACGACTCCGTCTCTAATCAGATTTTCACTCTCTGAGAAACCCTGTCCCTAGACTCGGAGAGCCCTCTTCCGATTCGATCTAGGGAACAGACCTCAATCATAGTAAATCCCGAAGGCTCTTTTTCTTTTCTCCCGCAGCCTCAGTCTACTTCACACCGCTTCAGTGACGCCACACGGTCGCAATAAGTTCGACTCGCACTCTTTGCCGGAAAGGCGGTCAACGCCCGGTCCCGCCCACACTCCCTAATAACACAGCCGCGTTCCAAGACAGAAAACGATATTGGGGAGCCCTGCGACTGTTCAGTCCACGCATCCGAGTCGCCCCATACTTTTCCTTACGACCCCACACACCTCTTCAAGTCCGTGATGTGTCGCCGTCGCAGCTGACGTCGCGGACATTCGGTATACAACCATCGAAAGCTGTAGATCTCACTCCCCCATAATATCAACACGTCCAGTTGCCCAGCGGACCCAACTTTCATATGCACGCTCTGATAAGTCGACGCTTGGTGGGCCCTGTTCGACCCAGGGATGGGCTATTTCCGCGCGGGGTGATCGTTTTTTTTAGGTCAGCCTTCAAAGCACGCATCATCAAGTTCCAGCTTGTGCTCATACCCTTGCCGGAGTCTCCGACTTACACACTTGAATTTACCGACCTTGGTACAGCTTGTGCTATCAGGAGCTTGAAGCTCTGTTCAATCCAGGGAATGGACATTGGGGTTGACAATGCTCTTTTTCAAACAGTCTCCTGCACCCTGCATGCACTCCCGTACGTCCTAAAACCGTGTCTGGCGGTCAGTTGCCACCGTAGTGCTGAAGCGCGTTACATACAAGTGCACACAGTTCTTCTGGGCCGTAACGC